CCACCAACTGGATCTTCCTCCTGGGGAACTTGGAGAGATTCCCAATCTCTGGAGGAACTTAATGAAGGCCACTCTCCATGCTATCGCCCTCATGAGAAATTTGGTCACTCTCTTCCTTACCCCCTACTTCCAATCCATTAACAAGCTCGGCACGTTCTACTTCTTAAAGACATTTCTCAAATCCATTTTCTCCTATCTATGTTTCCACTTTGACCTTTTTTTTCAGGCTCAAATAGGGTTGAGTCTGCGGGGGAAACCTCCGGCTCCAGCTACATACAGATTTGTTCAGGAAATTGGAGGGCTGGGAGATTGGTCAGGAAATTGGGAGTGCAGCTGGTGGGGGGAAGGAGCGTCCATGAATTCAGCTTGAAGGGGTTGAGGAAATGAACAACTACCAATGTCCCTGTCTCTTTGCCAAATACGTCTTGATAAAGCAAGTGGCTATGTTGTATTCTTACCTGACTCTCATAGTTTGTACCAATGAAAGGGACCTGTTCTATTAATAACTATCTAGCCTATGTTATATGTCCCATTATCCCTATATCCACTTCAAAGAATATCACTACTCTTAGACTTCTGGCTGGTACCATCAAGAATAGATTAGGACACACTGGGTGAAGGAGTGAGCACAGGTGGAAGGGGAGAGGGGATGCAGAGAGGAGAATACAGAGCATCAGACCCACTGTCGTTGCCATGACAACTGTGGAAACTCCTGCTCCACCCGCTTGAAATTTCCTGACTCTTGGAATGAAAGGCAGTTAATTTAAGGGTTCATCCTAGCATCTTTGCAATTACAGTGATTATCGGAGCAACTTGCTGGTGAGACTAAATGAGGTCTCTGGGGAGCTTAGGTCTAGGACACATTCTCAAAAAAATACATATTTATATCAGCTCACGAATAAAAGTGAGAGGATAGAAACAGATGGGATGGGACAGTCTTCAGAAAGTAAGAGAAGATAAAAGAATACAACAGTGGAGGAGAGAAAGAGGGTGGGACACAACTCATTAGATCAAGTCTCCACGTGGACCTGACCGAAGGGTATTCATTTGTCCTCTGTTGTTCTACAAACCTATCTTAAGCATCTATAGATGCTTTGCCCTCAACTAGGCACTAGGTACAGAAAACTAAACAGAATGATCTCTGTCTTTAAAATATTGTTTGAAGGAGATAAATAGAGAAAGAGGTTGAGATCTAGATGAGAGAGCAGAAACCATCGATAGTGAAGTTCCCATATTTGGGACCAGTACCACTACTTGATGCTTTTCCTGATTACCTATTTATTTTTTATAACAATTTAGTGAAACTGTCACCATATCTCTATTCTATAGTGCCAAGTTTCTGTTCCCGTGACTAAAAGGCACAGGGTTTACTCCAGTTGAACTGGGCTGACTGGGCTGTGCAAAATAACCACACAAGAGACACAAAGACCTTTTTCTTTAGGGTCGCAGTGATGCTCCTCTGACCTTAAGGGTCCACAGGAAGAGAGCACCGGCTGACCCCTTTTATTAAGGAGAAGCTATTCAATGAGGCAAGGGGTCAGGTTTCAGGGGGCTGAGTCTATCTTCATGATGTCCACTGTCAGCAGGTTGACTGACACCTGGGTAGGCCACACCCAAGGGCACAGTAAGGGAAGGGGACACACACAAGGCACTTCCATGAAAGATTCTACCCTAAACAGGGCAAGGGGTTATATTACAAAGGAACAGGTGAGCGTAGCTTCACCCATGGGGCTGTAGCAAGACACACCCATGCACGAGACACTGACTCTCGGACCCAAGAAGGGTGGGGAAAGCTCTGCCACATTTCTGTGTCTGAGCGCCTCAGCACCCAGCCGGGGAGTGTGACTCAGTCACGTGCAAGGTTGGTCTCCCACACTATAGATAAAATAACTAAAAGAATAAGGTTAAGTGACAAGGCTAGGACTCAAGCAGGGGTCTTCATTTCCAAAATTTCAGGTTCTCCTCACCATACAACTCTGCTTCCAACATGTTAAAATGCCCTCACTCAGCTTAATACTCTCTGTCCAGAGAGCTTTGCCCACACTCCCTGTCTTCATCTCCATCCGCAAGTTCCCAGGCACATTCATACACAGGCAATGTAGATTTGTTAGAAAGAAAAAAAAAAAACAATTCTCCAAATAGATGGAGTTTTGGTTTTGTTTGTCTATGGTTTATTTATTTGTTTTACCACAAAGGTTTAGAATAAGGCACATACCTAAGATTAATACTAAACTGTAGGGGCTGGGGTTATGGCTTAGTGGTAAAGTGCTCACCTAGCATGCTTGAGGCACTGAGTATGATCCTCAGCATCACATAAATGTAAAATAAAAATATTATGTCTACTTAAAACTAAAAAATATATATATTAAAAAATAGTAAACTGTAAAGAATGAAGATGGTGATGATGGCAGAAAACTAAACCAGCTTTCTGATGAGTAAACCCCTCATTCTGAAAGAAAGCTGCCCCATGCTTGTGAAATCTGAGCTACTTGCCAGACCTACTCTTGGTGATGACCCCTGCAAATCCTACAGTTCCTCCTGCCCACAAGAAACAAACTAGGAAAGAGACTGCAATAAAGAAAGGTGAGGGAGAGAAGAAGGAGAGATGAAAGAAGAAAGGGAAGAGGGAAAGGGATAGTTCTAATCTATTCAGGCTGCTATAACAAAATGCCATAGTCTGGATAGCTTATAAACAAAAAAGCTTTATTTGTCATAGTTTTGGGAACTGAGCAGTCATGATCAATCTGCTAGAGATTTAGTTCCCAGTTCTTCTTCTTGGCTTACAAACTGCCACCTTCTCAGTATGTCCTCATAAAAGTGAAGAGTGCTCTGGTCTCTTTCCTTTTCCTGTAAGAGAGCTAATGTCACCATGGGGTCCAAAGACCCCAGCTCCAAATGCCCTAACATTAGGGCTTTCAGTGTTTGAATCCTGGGGGACCAGAGCTTCTAGTCCACAACATGGAGTGAGGGAGGGAGGATTATTTTCCAACTAAAAGTAAGGGATTGTGAAGCTACTTTCTGTTTTTCTGCACTATCCAGCTTTCTCTACAGGTTTGTAAGGAAAAGGAAACAATGCTAATCTTCAAATTAACTCTTTGGTGACATGGGACTCACTGCCCTTCTGGAAGAATTCAAATTCACTAATAATACTTTTAGGAAAGGGCGCGTTCTATTATACTATCCTGCTCTTTATACTCTTAAAAGAATATTCCCAAAATCCATGTTGTTCAGACAACTCATGTCCCCAGGTGGACTTATTGTAAGACAAAAAAAAACTAAGTCTTATTCTCCCCAGGGAAGAAAGCAGGAGAGGGGCCATCTGTCAGCCAGGTGAGTGTTCACTGTGGACAGAACCTGTCCTGGAAGCCAGAGGGAACGCTAGGCAAAGAGCTGGCCTGCAGGAGCCCAGACCTCAAGACCCACAGGAGGGCTACTACCCCGACAATTACGGCTCACACAGCCAGGTGGGAGAGGTGCCCCTCCGTGAGGCGTGCACAAGGGAGACAGCAGATCCAGGGGATGGGGGGAAGGGTAAATTTTGAGTTCCATTTTAAACAAGTTTTGCTTAGGCCATCACGAAACAAAGTAGAGACAGAAAACCAGTAGGTGGTCAGATCAACAGACCTGAGCTTCAGAGAGAAACTTAGCTACAGATGGAAACTGAAGGTGCAGGAATGAGTCATCTGTGGAATGAGAAAAGAAAGCAGCCCGGGACAGAGCTTGTCTTGATTTGAATGAATGATTCAATGCATGGATGGAAGTGTTGTGCGAAAAAGCTACAACAGTAAGGCGGCAGGCTGCAAGAGTCTGGTGTCAGTGTGGCAGGGTTCCAGCCCCCCTCCCGACTCTGGGTACCTCTGGACAATCTCGAGCTTGTCAACATTTTGCCAAGTGTGCTTCTCAGGAGTGAATGCAATAGTCCCCATGCAGTATGGATGGTCTGGGGAGGAAGACACGTCCCCCCTCACTTCTGAGATGCTATACTACTACTACTATTCTTCTTCTTCTTCTTCTCCTTCTCCTTCTCCTTCTTCTTCTTCATAAACACCATAGACTCTTTGTTTATTTATTTATGTGGTACTGAGAATCGAACCCAGTGCCTCACGCATGCTAGGTGAGCACGCTACCACTGAGCCACAACCCCAGCCCTATACTCTTCTTGATGCAGCCCTAACTCATATTAAGCTTTCTGGCTACCACATCCTGGGTGACTTATGCTGGATTTACTACCTATATTAGTTTCCTATGGCCACCATAACAAAATACCACAAACTGGGTGGCTTAAAATCACAGGAATTCACTCGTTCACAATTCTGGAGGCTGGACATCTCGGAAAACCTAGTAAGATAGAATCCTGCTTTGCCTTTTCCTGGCTCTGTGTGGTGGCCAGCAACCCTTGGTGTTCATTCTTTTCTCTCTTCTGCCACCTCACGGAGTTCTCACTATGAATCTGGGCCCTAATGTCTCCTATATTATCAGGATGCTAGTCATATTGCAGCAGAGCCCCCAGTGACCTTATGTTGACTGGTGGCATCTGCAAAGACTCTGTTTCCAAATAGAGATGGTTCCTGACTTACACTGGGTCAATATAATGATATTTTTCCACCTTACAATGGTGCAAACATGATATGCATTTGGAAGAAACCATACTTTGAATTTTTCAGTTTGATCTTTTCCTGAGTTAGCAACATGCAACAATATTCATTCACAATGCTGGGTAGTAGCAGTGAATCCCAGCTCCCCTGAGCCACACCATCAGGTAGGTAAACAATGAGCGTTCCACAGTGCACTGCATTGCTCATCTAGAACCTTCAGTGAGGTAGATGCATCCAATGCACTTTACATCTATGAAAGGTTTGCCAGGACAGAATCTCATCCAATGTTGAGGAGCATCTATACTACAGTCTCCCCTTATTTGTAGTTTTGCTTTCTGCAATCTCAGTTGCCCTCTGAGATTAACCCCAATCTAAAAATATTAAATGAAAAATTCTAGAAATAAACAATTTGTTAAGTTTTTTATTGTGCATGATTCTGAGTAACATGGTGAAATTACATTCTGTCCTGTTCAGGATATGAATCATTGCTTTGTCCAGGATATCCACACTGTACACAAAACTTGCCCTTCAGCCACTTAGCCATCTCAGTTATCAGGTCCACCTATTTAGTGTCCCAATGCTTGTTTAGAGAGCTTGGAATTAGTGGAGATTTCAGACATCCTTTGGGGGTCTTGGAACATATCTCCTGCAGACAACAAGGGACACCATAAAACAGGGAACTGGGATTAGAACTTAACATATCTTTTCAGGGGACACAATTCAACAGAACTATCCAATAAAAACTCCAAGTGTCTTATCACCCTTGCTGCTCTATCCCTCCTAAGCCTCACCTAATTTCCACCAGTCCCAATTTTTCAGTGCAGAAAAAGTGGAAGGACTCAGCACCCCACAAATAAGACCTGCTGAAAATTATCATGAATTCCTTCTGCAGTTGGTTTTACATCTTCAAAACAAAACTATCACGTTTTCAGCTTTCTGCCATGTCTCTACCTTCTGTCTGTCTCCACCTGTCTTGTTGTTTACCTCTCTCCCTCTTATGTCTTCCTCTTCTCTCTTGTCCTTCTTCACGCTCAAGTGTGATCATGTGCATGCAAACACGAACAGACACCAGAAACACGAACACACGTCCCCGTGCACCATCTTGCCTGAATGATGATGAACCAAGTAGTCAAAAGGACCTGTGAAAAGCAGAAGGACAAGCATCAGGGTATGAATTTCCAATCAAAGAAAATACTAGAAATGGGATGAAAAAGTGCAGCTGCCAGATATCTAATGCTATGACTCCGAGGATCTCTTAGCATCAAAAGATAAAGAGTAGTAGAGCTATTGGGAGAAAGAGACTCCCCCAAACCGGAAAGAAAATCAATTGGTTCCCAGAATCAGATTCATTATTTTTGTTTCTAAACACAAAATAGGTCACTTAAGTCAGACTGTTGTGTTTCTCGTCCTCTGTTTTGGGTAACTGAGGATGTTAGCAAAATGAATTGATTAGACAGTGTGATGTTTGAAGGTATTTGGTCCATTAAACAAACAAAGTCTTCATTAAACATCTGCAAAAATTATTCAGAGCACAAATTCATGCTGTGAAAAATAATATTATTTACTATAAATAAATGCATTTTAAAATCTTAGTTCTTTAGTAAGACCACTGCTGTTGGTTATTGAATGTCCTCCAAAGGCCCCTGTGTTAAAGGTTTAGTTGCCAGCTGTGGTGCTAATGGGAGGTTGGTGGAACCTCTAGGAGGTGAGGCCTAGTGGGAGGAGGTTAGGTTGTTGGGGCGTGGTCTTTAGGGGATATTGGGATCCCAGCTCTTTCCTTTCTCCCTTTGCTTCCTCCTTCACTATGTGTTCCCACCATGATGACTTCTGTCACTGCAGGTCCAAGACAACAGGACCAAATGACTATAGAATGAAATATGTGAAGTCGTGAGCCAAAGTGAATCTTTCCTCTTCTGAATTGATTATCTTACATATTTTGTCACAGTGACAGAAAGCTAACTCAACCCCCACCTTAAAAAATGTACACCTGTCTCCCACCTTTTGGCCTTCCCACCTGCATCCCCCATCACATGCAAGATAGGAGGGGGGGGGAATAAAGGACAGGAATGTGGGAGGACAAAAGAAGACCTTAGATATAAAAGGGAGAAGACCTCCCCTTTCCAGGGATTCCACCTTTCGGGTCCCCTTCTTCCTGGGGGCAGGGGGAATTTTTTTCTGCTATGCTTTAATAAAGCTTTGCACTTTCCACTCTAAAAAAAAAAAAATGTAAACTATATTGAAAGGTAAATATCTCTGATACTTCCTTTTTGCCTTAGATCCAGTTCAGCTGAAAGTCCCATGATTTCTTCTTCCACCATGTGTTCAGGGATCACCCACTTTCCCATCCAATTTTCCTCACCATATATCAGCCATTTTCACATCTTATCTACATTGCCACGTAGTGTTCTTTCTAGTCTGTCTGTCCTGCCCTTTCTTGCTCCCTGACAGTCCATTGGCCAGAGTGCAACCAGAATGACCTTTGAGTAATGTGAATGTGATCATGTTAGCTCTTTAGAATGCTTCCAAGTTTTCCCTGGCTTCACTGCCCCTCTAACACCATAGCTGCCCTCTATCCCTCTTGCTCTCTGAACTCTGATCTCAACAGCCTTCATGGATCCTTCGGGGCAGCAAGCTTATTTATACCACAGGGTATTTGGAGTCACTATTCCTACCAGATTTTCCCCTGGTTTGACATGCTGCTGACTAAATGTCCCTGATTAAATGTCACCTACTCATAACAGCCTTTTCCTATAGACTCATCTAAAGTAACCACCTACCCTATCGCTTCTCTTTGTTTACTTTCACATACTCACCAAAATCTAAAACTGTTCATTTGCTTTCATGTTTCTCTTCCCTTTTCACTTAAAACTCCACAAAAGCAGAAATCCTACCTATTTATAAATCACTAAACCTCCAGAATGCAGAAAAGCCCCTTGACACTTTGTAAGTACTGAATGATTACTGAATGAATGAAAGCATAAACCAAATAAAGTGCTGAAGGAATGAAAAAAAAATATTTTTACTTTAATGATGGAGGGTTAATAATTCTAGTATGTGGAAGCCTTTCTGAATCATCAAGAAAAACATGAGCAGATCTAAGAAATGCTGGGTTGGAGGCTCCCAGCCAAGATAAAAAATATATTCTCAACTCAGTCAATAATATTTAGACACTTTCTTCTTTCTCTTCCATGGAAAATTAAGAAGATGCTAAAAGCAAAAAGAGAAGGTTTTAGAGCCTACAGATATGACTGAAAATAAAGAGACAAAAACAGGTAATAAAGAAGAGGATGAGGTGCCTGGTGATTTAGGTGGCACTTCAAATGACCAGGCTGAGCAGTCAAGGGGAAGGCTGTCTCATTTCACAGGGGCAGCCTACCCCAACAGGCAAGGACTAGATCAGCATTGTTCACTATCAGCCTTAATCCTGTTCCTTCCCCTCCTCTCTTCTCTCTCTGTTTTCCTGTTCCTGGAATAAGTGCATACAATTAAAATGGAACCAGAAAGGAGAGAAGTGGAGAAGAAGAGATATTGAGAGAATGGTCTACAGAATGATATGTAACAAAAGAGCCACATAATGAGTGATAGGAGTGTAGATCTAATTTTATTTTTCTAAAATAAACAAATTACCTAATTTTGAACTGTTTAATACAAAACTTAATGATGGAGTGTGGCAGGTCCATTAGGAGTACCCGACTAGTTGTGCCAAATGCCATGCATCCCTGATCCACGCGTGCCTGCAACTGGGTAATCCTGGTGAAACATATGTATCTCCCAAAATCAGCATGGGATTTATGAAAACTCACAAGAGGACAGAAGCTCAGAGCAGGAAAAAGAACAGAAAAGCAAACCTAGACATTCCACGGATGACCACAAAAAGTTTAAGCCAGCGAGTTGCAGACTCCCCTGCTCCCAACAGTATATGGTGAGATCACGTGCCCACAAGGGGGCAGTATCTAACCAACTGCAAGCTCAAGTACTGGAAGGAGATTTGGCCATGATGGTACTACAGAGGAGACCCTCAAAGATTGAGATTTGTAGCCATTGATTAGTGTGTATGTCTGTTTGCTATTATTTTGACCCCAAAGTGTCCCCCAAATACTGAAAGGGTCCGCATTAAAAGCCCATTTTCAGAAGTAGTTTCTCATATGAGATTAACAAATATTTTGCGTCAGTTTTTTGATGACCTCTCCACTCGTCATACTCGAAGTCTTTTTTAAGATTCCAAACAGAAGGGTGTTGAGATGTCTCTAAATAAGAATCTGAATGGAGGGTGCTTTCTGGCCCTGGTTACGTCTTAGCCCTCCCACTCAACTCCCACAGGCAGAAATTCCTGCCCCACCTCTCCACCCCACCCCCACCCACCACCATGACCAAAGACTAACAAGACCACCTGGGGGCACCTTAGCTGTGATTTTTGAGGTTAAAATTCAGGAAGTCTTCAAATTCTGGATCTGAACAGACCACAGGAATCAGGCTGTATTTGTACTCCAGAAATCCCTGCCTCCAAAGACTTAACATGACAAGAAAAAAGAAACACGTGACCTGACACTGGCCTC